ACTTCAAACACAATTAGTAATCATGAGCTTTAAATCAAAAGGTCTTCTTGGGTTGTAACGTAGGCTATTTGGTCAAGGTTAAGATATATATATATGGGTGAAGTGGCTCAAATATACAGCCATACCAGTCGAGTAAATAGACTACTCGACAACTCCGCTACTCATCCCTAATCAACATAAAGTGTTTCTCATCCCCAGACCAAAATAATCCATACACAACTCATAAATGCTCAAATCAAACTGCAAACGAAGTACTTGACCTTTTTTTTTTTTTGAGAGAGTGTTTAATTTTTTTTCCAAACATGAACAAACCGTAAGGACAACATTCTCTAAATATAAACATTGGAGGTCATCCAAGTATTCTAGAGTAGTTTCCCATACTCATTGCCAGTCAAAATAAATCAACTAGTAAGAGGAGTAGAATCCCGACAGTTCGACTTGCGAGCTCCCTTTATTATCATTTTTTTCTTTTTCTTTTTTTTTCCCATCATTTTTTTTCGGTCAAGCACCTTAAATGTAACTCAATTACACCGCATTCCATATCCAATCATTCAATAAATACCACTGCTATCCCCGTCCATCCCATACAATAATCAACTCTCAAAATAAATAAGAAAATCCAGTTGACAAGAAAAAGGCTGAAGGCTCAAACGGGCTACTAGTGAAAAATATTTTTAAGGACAAAGAACAAGGCCAAACAGCTAATTCAAAAACCGCCTAAATCATTTTTAAAGCTCTCAATCACCAATGCATTTTTTCAAGTAAGAATCAAGGCAAAATCTAATAACTCGGGTATCCAATTGACACACACAGACAATGAATAAAGGTTCAAGTCTCACTAGGCTCAATATATTGCTGATTCAAGGATCACAAGAATTTTCATCTAGGCACGACAAATTACAACCCCATCACAATTTCTCAATCACATCAAATCACAATCCCCATTCAAGTTTTATCCACCATTAAGCCAAAGTAAAAGAAATACACAAGGAACCGACTCAAGAAAATTATTACTATATCCTAATAAAGCAAGTAAACGTGCAACCTAAAAATAAAAATAGTCTAAAAAATCATAAAAGTAAGAACTAATGCAAGCAACTATATGATATGCAATAAAGCGATAAAAAAAAACTCAAGATATACGACACTTCTCTCTCTCAAACTTATTCTTTGGAAAAGAATTAAGTTTAAGAAAAATAAATGGTATATCTCAAGTAACTAACTGAATAGTCGAGCGAGCTCCACCATAAGCAATCCTTGCACCCTTTAGCATGATCATCTTCTCCATGCTTCGCTCGAGCAC